ATCTATATGTATCCTATAACATCGTGTTGTAAACCTCAAACATATACAATAAAAGTTATTTAAAAAATTAAAGGCCAGGCTTGGTGGCTTATGCCTGTAATCCCAGCACTTTGGGAGGCTGAGGCAAGTGGATCACCTGAAGTTGGAAGTTAGAGACCAGCCTGACAAACACGGAGAAGCCCCATCTCTACTAAAAATACAAAATTAGCTGGGTGTGGTGGTGCATGTCTGTAGTCCCAGATATTCTGGAGGCTGAGGCAGGAGAATTGCTTGAACATGGGAGGCGGAGGTTGCACTGAGCCAAAATCACGCTATTGCACCCCAGCCTGGGCCACAAGAGAGAAACTCCATCTCAAAACAACAACAACAAAAACCAACAGCAACAAAATTTAAATGGGCTCAAAATTTTAGAAGCATCACTTATCTCATGAAGAAGATAGTCTGCTTTTCTTGCAGACAGATAATTTTGTATTTTTATTAAGACTACTCATTTAGTCACTTAACAAATATTTGTTGAGCTCCTTATAACCTAGTTACTACTATAGGACCTGGGGATGCAGCGGTGAACAAATCAGACATCAATCCCTGCCACAGGAAGCTTGGATTCTAGGAAGAGTAGTAAGAGCAGATAATAAGCTAACAAATTAGTAAAGTACATATTATGCTAGATGGCAGTAACTCTTGGAGAGAAAATAAAGCTGGAAAGAAAGAAAAGGAGTGCTGGGCGAGATTGTAATTTCATATGGATAGTAGTTAGGAAAGGCCTTAACTAAGAAGGCATCATAAAGAAGTAAAGACGTGAGGAAGTGAGCCAAGGAGATATTTTGGAGGAGAGTCTCCCAGGCAGAAGGAATAGGACATGCAGAAGCTTCAGGGGTGGGAAACAGGCTTGGTGAGTTCCAGAAACAGCAAGAAAGCCAATATGCATGGACAGAGACGGGGAGGAAGAATGGTCTGAGATGAGATCAAAGAGGCAGTTGGGACCCTCATCATGAGACCTCATAGACTGTTTTGATAAGCGGTGACAGGTTAAGGTACTAGTAGGTGTTAAACACAGGAAAGTAATGATGCAACTTAGACTTTTAGAAAATATATATGGCTCTTGTAACTGCCCAATGGTTTCATTTTGCCTGCTGCCCAGATAGAGCCAATTTATCAAGACAGGGGAATTGCCACTAGAGAAAGAGTTTAATTCACGTAGAGCCAGCTGAACAGCAGACCAGAGTTTTATTGTTACTCAAATCAGTCTCCCCGAAAATTCGGAGACTGGGGTCAAGGATAATTTGGTGGACAGGGGGCCAGGGAGTCAGGAGTGCTGATTGATAGGGCTGGAGATGAAATCAAAGGGATTTGACTCCAGTCCTCTTGGACTGAATCAGTTCCTGGGTGGGGACCACAAGACCAGATGAGCCAGTTTATCAATCTGGGTGGCACCAGCTAATCCATCAGGGTCTGAAAAATAGTTCCAGCATCAATCTTAGGTTTTTCAGTAGTGATGTTATCCCTAGGAGCAATTGGGGGGGTTTAGAATCTTGTGGCCTCTAGCTGCATGACTCCTAAACAATAATTTCTAATCTTCTGGTCTTACAAAGGCAGTCTGGTCCCCATGCAACAAGGGGGTTTGTTTTGGGAAAGAGCTACCATCTTTCAAAGTTAAACTATAAACTAAATTCCTCCCAAAATTAGTTCAGCCTATACCCAGAAATAAAAAAGGACAGCTTGGAGGTTAGAAGCAAGATCAAATCAGTTAGGTTAGATCTCTTTCACTGTCATAATTTTTCGTGGGTATGGTTTTTTCAAAGGTAATTCCACTGTGTGGAGAACAAACTGGGGGGGTTAAAAGTGAAAGTAAGGAGACCAGCTACAAGGCAGCTACAATAATCCAGGAGGGAGATGATAGTGACTTGGATCAGGGCTGGTGGTAGCAATACTGTCAGTGAAATGTGATGAAATTCTGGATAATTTTAAAGACGAAGCCAACAACATTCACTGAAGGCTGGGTGTAAGGTGAGAGAGAATGGGGAAAGCAGAGGATGATTCCTGTGATAAATGGCTTGACCTACTGGAAGGCTAGAGTTGCCGTCTACTGAGATGAAGTGGTAGAAGTGGGAATCAATTACTAGGTCCTTTCCTCCCTAAGGAGATGGTTATAAGAAGAGGAACGAAAAGAGTATGAGGATATGGTATTTTGGCTGGTTCATGCCGATGGCCAATACCATCTGCCATCTGTCTCTGTCAATGGCCCAGTGGCATCCTCTAAAATGGCAACCTCATGAACCTGGAAATGGAAAATCCCAATCACCCATATTTATTATTTTTTAAATTTATTTATTTATTGAGACAGGGTCTCACTTTGTCACCCAGGCTGGAGTACGGTGACGTCATCTCGGCTCACTGCAGCCCCTGCCTCCCAGGCTCAGGTGATCCTCCCACATCAGCCTCATTTATTTAGATCCTACTTGAAAAATATTTTTCTTTTGCTTTTAATGAGTTTCATAAATTTGCTATTTGATGTTCTGTAGCACTTTCTTCTATTTAAAAATTTCTGCTGGGCACAGTGGCTCATGCCTTTAATCCCAGGACTTTGGAAGGCTGAAGCAGGCTGATTGTTTGAGTCCAGGAGTTTGAGACCAGCTGGGCAACATAGGGAAACCTCATCCCTACAAAAAAATTAGGTGAGTACTTGGGGCATACCTGTAGTTTCAACTACTCAGGAGGCTGAAGAGGGGGATCTCTTGAGCCCAGAAGGCAGAGGTTGCAGTGAGCTGAGATCATACCACTGCACTCCAGCCTGGGCAGGAGTGGAGACCTTGCCTCAGAAAAATGTTTTTTTTTTTTTTTTTTTTTTTTTTCCCCACTGATTTCAAGCTTCGAATACATTCTTTATTTCTACGATCCTAGGATGTCATGAATTTATGTTGTCCTAGGCATACCTTTACTTTATTAAACATTTTTTTTTGGCCAGGCAAGGTGGCTCACATCTGTAATCCCAGCACTTTGGGAGGCCAAGGCAGGCAAATCGCTTGAGCCCAGGAGTTTGAGACCAGCCTGGGCAATATGGTGAAATCCTCTCTAATAATACCAGAACAATTAGCCGAGCATGGTGGTGTACACCTATAGTCCCAGCTAATAGGGAGGCTGATGTGGGAGGATCACCTGAGCCTGGGAGGCAGGGGCTGCAGTGAGCCGAGATGACGTCACTGTACTCCAGCCTGGGTGACAGAGTGAGACCCTGTCTCAATAAATAAATAAATAAATTTAAAAAATAAATAGAGATGGGGTCTCGCTGTGTTGCTCAGGCTGGTTTTGGACTCCTGGCCTCAAGTGATACTCCCAATTCAGCCTCCCAAAGTGCTGAAATTATAGGTATGAGCCATGGCACTGAGCCTGTTCCTTATTTTAGGCTTTGACGTTATTCCTCTTAATTTCTATTTACAATCATATCTGATTAACAGTTTGTGTATAGTGTATATATTATCTCATTTAACTCTCACAACGCCTATGAGGTAACTAAAACAGAAACCACCCTAATTTTATAGATAAGAAAAACAGGCTGGGCATGGTGGCTCAAGCCTGTATCCTCAGCATATTGGGAGGCTGGGGAATATAGGGAGACCCTGTCTCTACAAAAAATGTAAAAATTAGCTGGGTATGGTGGCACACACCTGTGGTCCGAGCTACTTGGGACACTGAGATGGGAGGATTGCCCCCTTAAGCCAGAGAGGTCAAGGCTGCAGTGAGCCAAGATCCCACCACTGTACTCTAGCCTGGGTGGCAGAGGAAGACCCTGTATTAAAAAAAAAAAAAAAAAAAAAGAAGAAGAAAGAAAGAAAAGAACACAGGGAGAGATTGAATTGGTGACAAAATCAGAACTCAAATGTATCTCTTGACTCAGTATGTTTTCTATTGACCACTTTCTTTCTCAATTCCTTCATTGTATTATTTGTCCTTCTCTAGACTCTTTTAGTTTGGTTTTATCCTTAATATTAGATGCAATAACTACTTGCCATTTTCTCTAGAAAGATTTTTTAAAATAAGGACAAGAAAATACCTTGTAATTTTATGACTTATTTCAAATAGTATTTCTGACAATGTTCAAAATTGTTTTCAGGCTTATTATTTTGTTTAGTTTGCTTTAGGAACTGCAGGAAAAGTGGGATTAATGTTTTAATCAAATGGTTTACAATGGCTTAGTCTTCTGGTCATTCTCTTGAATACATCAATTATAATTGAATACATCAACTACAATCTAAGTTATTAAGTTAATCTAACTTATTTCCCTCTAAATTAGCTTACACTTGTATAAAATAAAGTTCATTTCCTATGTTTCTGTCTACTTGCACAACCATGTGAAAATTTCTTGTAGGTCTTCTTTGGCATTAAATTATCTATGAGTGCTTATATTACCTCCATAATTATTACTCTGTTGGAATTCCTAATAAATGATAATTTCATTGACCAAGGCAAGTGATTTTTTTCAGAGCAAACATAATGAAATCTAAATACTCTCTGAAAGTCTTTTGACTGTGATAAATAAATATGCAAGCCAAGGGATAAACAATCAGATTTTTCAAAAGGTCTTTCACAAAGTGTCACACCAAAAATTACCAACAAGAGAAAAAAAAATCACCATAGTATGGAAGATCAGTTTGTCATGTCAGACAGTGGAATTACAGATAGAAGATAAATAGTACGTGTAAATTGGCTTATTTTGACAGATACAATAAAAATATTTTTTTTTCTATAAATGATTTGGCCAAGTTGGTAGAGATGTCTCTAAATTATTATGCCATGCTACACATTCTCTTTCTTGTTTCTTTGGAATCCCTCTTCTAGTGTGGATCAACTACCTGATTTCCTGGAATTCTTCTTAGTGTAGTCTTTTCATTTATTTTCACACAACTGAACTTTCTCCTTTCTATACTCCAGACTTTCTTGCCTGCCTTACTTCACTCTATTCCCTGCTCTTGGAAGGTCTTTATCTCTTAAAAGTTAAGCTTGTATTGATCACTTTGGCAGCACATATGCTAAAAATGGAACGATATGGAGAAGATTAGCATGGCCTCTGTGCAAGGATGACACATAAATACATAAAGCATTCCACATTTTTAAAAATTGAAAAAAAGAAAAAAACCTTTTAAAGCTTGAGATGTGAGATGGTGGTTGGCACCTGTAGTCCCAGCTACTGGGAGGCTGAAGCAGGAGGATCACATAAATTCAGGTGTTCAAGGCTACTATGCACAATGATGGTGTTTGTGAATAGCCATAGCACTTTGGCCTGGGCAACATAGTGAGGCCACTTCTCTTTAAAAATAAAAAAAGTTGAGCTTTTAGAAGGCCTTTTTTATTTACCAGCCAAACTGCTCTCTCACTGATTGCGCAACACTGCATTATCTTTATTTTTTATTTAAAATTTTTATTTTAAAAATTGCTGGGCTCCGTGGCTCACGCCTGTAATTATGCCTGTAATCCCAGCACTTTGGAAGGCCGAGGCAGGCGGATCATCTGAGGTCAGGAGTTTGAGACCAGCCTGACCAATATGGTGAAACCCCATCTCTTAGCAGGGCATAATGGCATATGCCTATAATCCCAGCTACTCGGGAGGCTGAAATGGGAGAATCACTTGAACCTGGGAGAGAGAGGTTGCAGTGAGCCGAGATTGTGCCATTGCACTCCAGCCTGGGCAACAAGAGCAAAACTCCGTCTCAAAAACAAAAAAAAAAAACAGAAAAAAAACCCAACTTTATTTTTCCTCTTCCCTCCCTTTCCCTCCCCTCCTCTTTTTCTTTTTGTAAGACAAGGACTCACTCTGCCTCCCAGGCAGGAGTGCGGTGGCACAATACCAGCTCACTACAGTCTCCACCTCCTGGAGGCAACCCCACCTCAACCTCCCTAGTAACTAGGACTACAGGGTGGAGGCCACCACGCCCAGTTAATTTTTATATTTTTTGCAGAGACAGGATCTCATTATGTTGCCCAGACTGGTCTTGAACTCCTGGGCTCAAGTGATTCTCCTGCCTCAGACCCTCAGGCATGAGTCACCTAGCCCAACGTGTATTATCTTTTATGGAATTCTTCATATCGCCTGCTGGATTGCCAGCCTCTTCTGGACAGCAATGTGTATTCCTAATTCGCTTATCATAGTATCTCAAAGCATTTATTGTTTGATCAAATTACGGCTGATCAATTAGGAGTTACCCTTCAGGTAGATACACTGTCTCCTGTCTTCTCCATCCACCGACAGTCCATCTTGGTCCCTTGGCTTTCCCATGCCACTTATACATTCTTTCAAAACATTTGAGTGCGTACCATTTATGTTATTCAAATACAAAACGGGAAAGCGGTAGGCGGTACATTTCAGTAGTCTGTCAAACATGAGTTTTGGACGCTGGAGGCAAAATAAAAAATGGGCCTGCCATTTAGGGAGGTGTGGCGAAGTGGTATCACTATTCCGTTAAAACCTGAAGGCCCATTGGGTCACCTCCATTTTATTCAGGTTTCGGAATCTCGGTCATGTGAGCTAACTTAAAAGGCTTAAGAGTTGTTACCTGCCTACCCGTCATAATCATTTCCCAATTCCTTGAAAACTTCGGGTGCCTCCAGCTGCCCAGACTAGAGCTGCCCGCCCCGCCCCGCCCCACTGCATGCTGGGAGTCGTAGTCCCGGCTGGCAGAGCCCGGAAGGATGGGAGGGGCACCGGAATGCAGCCCGCCGACCTGGCTACTAGAGGTCCCTCTCCCTAACTAATCCCTTGGTTCTCTCGGGTGGAGCCTTCAGCGTGCACAGCGGGATTTGACTTTGCCACCGTCTCTCTTCTGGATTTCAATAAAGTTTTCCTCTTCCTCTCCTCGTACGAAGCTCAAGATGGCGGCCTCCTGGTCGCTCTTGGTTACCCTGCGCCCTTTAGCACAGAGCCCCCTGAGAGGGAGATGTGTTGGGTGCGGGGCCTGGGCCGCCGCTCTCGCTCCTTTGGCCACCGCCCCTGGAAAGCCCTTTTGGAAAGGTCAGTGATTGTGCCACGAGTAGGCCGAGCCGACTACACATGAGTGGAGAAGCCTCTGGGGTCACCTTCCCTGTCCAGTCTCCCCCAGGTGCCTCTTGCTTTCACGAAGCTAAGGGCTCCTCGAGATGAGTTTCCATTTCTCGTGACCTTTTATACTGTCTGTGAATGAGCCTTGAGCACTGAAGGAAAGGACGTGAGTGACTTTCATTTTGAGGGTCAGAGGTAGACTCAGAGTTTGTTCCCTCCGGGACGTTTAGACAGCTGAGCCCAGGTGTGGGAGTGCCTGGCTTGAAGTGATGCAGGTGTGGGGTTGGGGACTGGGGACCCCTACCCTCTGCGTTTCCCAAGCTCTCGGGGCTGGTGACTGACGGGCATTGGAGTAAGAGCCGCTCGTGGGACCTCTCCAGGCCCCGCTGCGTCTCGTGATTCTTGGAAGAAAGGTCCACAAACATTCTTAGATTGAAGGATCGATTGATTCTTGGTGTTCTTTTCAAGTCACTAGAGGCTTCAGTGAGATGTGTTTTGTCACCGGGCTTTCTTCCTTTCTGCATTCCTTCATTCAGTTGTTTTATGTTCATGAATGAATGAATGTATATTCTGAGTAACCAAGCCAAGAGTGCCAGTTTTACTGCTCAATTCATATACTCGCATTAAACTCCACGTTTTTCAAAGGCAAGGACATTGTATCATTTTTTCCTAAGCACTTAGCGCAATGATTGGTACCTGATGTGCAAATATGATTTTTGAATGAATGAATGAGATTATTCTCATTGTCTCCGTCATCCACATACTTATGTTTTCCTTTTTCTCAAATCCAAGCAACCCCTGTAATATACCTTAATAGATCAATAGACCTTAATAAAGTATATGACTTAATAAATAGAATCTTATTGATTATTTAAGCTAAAAATATGAGTCTTTGACCCTTATAATCAATGCAGTTGAAATTAATACTAGAACTATGATTAGGCCACCTTATATTTTTCTGCAAAGATTAGCATAATGCGCTCAGTGTAATGGAATAGGCTCCACATGGGGGTAGCCCTGATAGAGTAGTAGTTAAATAAATGAGGCCACTCGAGGTGGCTCATGCCTGTAATCCCAGCACTTTGGGAGGCCGAGGCAGGCGGATCACAAGGTCAGGAGTTCGAGACCAGCCTGACTAACATGGTGAAACCCCCATCTCTACTAAAATTACAAAAATTAGCCGGTTGTGGTGGCGTGCACCTGTAATCCCAGCTACTCAGGAGGTTGAGGCAGGAGAATTGCTTCAATCTGTGAGGTGGAGGTTGCAGTGAGCTGAGATTGCACCATTGCACTCCAGCCTGGGTGACAGAGTGAGATGCTGTCTAAATAAATAAATAAATAAATAAATAAGTGTAGGCATAATGGAATATTCTGGTAGTGTAAGATGTGGATTACAGCATAAATTTTATTTTTTATTTTTGGTAGTCAATAAAAGCAAATGGTATAAATTTCAACAGGTGCAAGAAAGAATATGGCAAAATGTAAGTCTTTCTTCTGTCCCTATCCCTTAGTTGCTTAGTTTTTCTCCTCAGAGGCACTCTCTGATACTAGTTTCTTATGTATTCTTTGATACATTCTGTGTATGTACAAGCATATACATATATAGATAACGGTATTAAAAAATAGAAGTAGTAATATGCTGTACACTTTGTTTCATGTATAGAGCAGTTAATTCTGTTAATTGTTAATTTCTTTTAAATTTAGTATCTTGGCGATCATTCCATATCAATACCATATCAACTTCATATTAATAGAACTGTCTCATGTTTTAAGTTTTAAAAATGGTATTCCATTCTAGTATATACCATGATTTATGAAAATTAATTTAAGATTTAGAGAGCATCATTATAACATAAAATTCACTGAATGCTTATTCTGTGTCATACAATATGCTAAGTACCTTCTGCGTATATTATCTTCTTTTTTTTTTTTTTTTTTTTTTTGGGACGGAGTTTCGCTCTTGTTACCCAGGCTGGAGTGCAATGGCGCAATCTCGGCTCACCGCAACCTCCGCCTCCTGGGTTCAGGCAATTCTCCCGCCTCAGCCTCCTGAGTAGCTGGGATTACAGGCACGCGCCACCATGCCCAGCTAATTTTTTGTATTTTTAGTAGAGACGGGGTTTCACCGTGTTGACCAGGGTGGTCTTGATCTCTTGACCTCGTGATCCACCCGCCTCGGCCTCCCAAAGTGCTGGGATTACAGGCGTGAGCCACCGCGCCCGGCCTATCTTCTTATTCCTCAGTATCCTCATTTTGGAGATCATGAATCCAAGATTGCTGGAGATATATGGCTAGTAAGTGTCAGAACTTCTGGATTCAAGTAAAGGCTGTGCTACTAATCTATACCCATACTTTCTCCTATACACAAAATTTAGCCAGTTCTGGGTGTGAAGATTTGATGAAAACGCAGTTAGGTTAGAGGTCCATTTAATTGTAACTAAGGATGAGTCCTTCTCTTTTTATTATTTATTTATTTATTTTTTGAGACAGAGCCTCACTGTCTCACTCTGTCGCCCAGCTTGCAGTACAGTGGCATGATCTTGGCTCACTGCAAACTCCATCTCCTGGGTTCAAGCAGTTCTCCCTGCCTCAGCCTCCCAAGTAGCTGGGATCACAGGCGCCCGCCACCATGCCTGGCTAATTTTTGTATGTTTAGTAGAGATGGGGTTACACCATGTTAGTCTGGCTGGCCTTGAGCTCCTGACCTTGTGATCCACCTGCCTCGGCCTCCCAGAGTGCTGGGATTATAGGCCTGAGCCACCACACCCTGTCTCCATCTTTAAATAAAAGAAAAATTTTAGTTGAAATTTTGTTCAGTATTTAGAGTCTGATTTACAAATCTATTTTCTATCCCTTTCCTGATTTTTTTTTGGGGGGGATAATTTATTGTTTACATTTCTATTTTATCTTCATTTTTCATTTTTTGAAGTCTGCTATTTAGTACCATGTAATGTGGCTGGGTGAGGTGGCTCACACATGTAATCCCAGCAATTTGGGAGGCTGAGGTGGGAAGATTACTTGAGTTCAGGAGTTTGAGACCAGCCTGGGCAACATGGCAAAACCACCTCTCTACAAAAAATACAAAACTTAGCCAGGCATGGTGGTGCACACCTGTAGTCCCAGCTGCTTGGGAGGCTAAGGTGAGAGGGTCATTTGAGCTTGGGAGTTCAAGGCTGTAGTGAACTGAGAAAGATGGCACCACTGCACTCCCAGGCTGAGTGACAGAGTGAGACCATGTCTCAAAAAAAAAAAAAAAAGAAGAAGAAGAAGGAGAAAGAAAAGTGAATGAAAACTGAGTTCCAGCTCTTGAATACCCCATAATCTTGAAAGGCAGATGGAATTCTGGTAGCCAGCATATGATGAGCCATTCTGTGTTCTAGACACTTTGCTAGCATTTTCTGTTTCATAATTTTCATAAAACCCTATAAACATTGTTGTCTTTATTTTATGTATGAACAAACAGGGATGGTTACCCAACTCAGATTTTAAACCCAGGCATTTTTGCTTCAGAGTCATAAACTTAACTGCTATTTATACTAGCTTTTTAATGTAACAATGAACATTAATAACATTATACCATGATATAAACCTATTTGAAGTGTTATAAGACTACAGAAGAGGAAGTAACTCTGCTTGGAGAGAGGAAGATTTTTTATTTTCAGCAAAAGTGTGGATGTGAGCTGTACCTGGCCCTCATTGGTTTATGGTCTCTGATAGAGCAGCTAAAGATGAAGCTGGAGAGGCGGGCTGATCTGGTTGAGAAGAGTCCCTTAACACTATGGGACACTAGTGGTGGATGTTTCTCAGGTATAGAAGTGATCCGATCTGTTTTAGCATGATTGTTCTTGTGGTCACCTGAAAAATCGATCAGAAATGCTTGGATGGGACAATATTGGAAGCTGGGTGATTATTTAGGAGGAAGTTGAAGTACAGGTATTGATCGACTTACCACCTATGCAACTTACGACCATTCGACTTTACGACCACAATCGCTAGCCACGACTGCTCCACATCTGGCAGTGCAAACGTTGCCCAGCTGGGCATACGACAGTGCGGACCAGCTTCCGGCAGCACTACCATCTCTGCGTGCACCATTTCAACTGTACATATAGCCTACTCAACTTACGACCAAATCGTGTTACGACCGGTCTGCGGTCCCGACCGTGGTCGTAAGTCGAGCACTAGCTGTAGTTGGAGTGTTAGGGAGTGGTTTAGGACCTGAATTACTGTTGTGGTGAAGGAGAGCAGGGCAGCGGAAGAGAGGGAATTCAGAGACACTTCTCTGATAGCATTAACATACTTGGCCTGGTTTGGTGCCTCATGCCTGTAATCCTAGCACTTTGGGAGGTCGAGATGGGTGGATCACCTGAGGTCAAGAGCTGGAGACCAGCCTGGCCAACATGGTAAATAAAACACCATCTCTACTAAAAATGCAAAAATTAGCTGGGTGTGGTGGTGTATGCCTGTAGTCCCAGCTACTGGGGAGTCTGAGGCAGGAGAATTGCTGAACCCAGGAGGTGGAGGTTACAGTGAGCCAAGATCATACCATTACACTCCAGCCTGGGCGACTCTGTCTCAAAAACAAAAACAAAAACAAACAAACAAAAAGAATTAACATACTTGGGGCAGACAAGGAAAGGGAGGAGTGAAGATAAATTTAGGTTTCCTATTGCAGTTTAAATAATGACTTGATAAGTAAAAAGTAAAACAATGTCGGGCTCTGTGGTTTAGGCCTATAATCCCAGCACTTTGAGCGACCAACATGGTGAAACCCTGTCTCTACTGAAAGTACAAAAATTAGCTGGGTGTGGTGGCGCCTGTAATCCCAGCTACTCAGGAGGCTGAGGCAGGAGAATCACTTGAGTCCAGGAGAATCGCTTGAGTCCAGGAGAATTGCTTAAGCCCAGGAGGTTGCGGTGAGCCAAGATCGTGCCACTATACTACAGCCTAGGGTACAGAGCGACACTCCATCT